ATTTTTTTTTGGGAATCCGATCAAAGAATTATTTTTTTTTTGGGGAGGGGGGACCGACGATACGGGGCTTTTAGTGAATTTGTTGGAATTTTCGGGACGAAACTGTCTTTCACAATTCACTGCTTTTTTTTTTTCCAGTAAAGGAATCTCTTCAAAGGTTTTAAGGGGAAATTTTTTTTTAAAATTTTCATTTTTTTGAAAAATGCCCCCGACGATGTCCCTTCCGCTAATTTAGGGTTTAAAGGTTTGCTAAAAACCCATTTCAATTTTCCCCCCTTTCCCTTTAGTTTTAAAATTCGTTGGGGGTTTTTTCCGGGGTTAAAGAAATTTCAGCTTTATAAGGATTGGAATCCATTTTAAATTGTTGTTTCATCCAAACTGTTCTTCAATAATCTTTTAAATTTTTCCGTTGGAATCTTCAAAATTGTTTAACTTGTTGAGTCTCACTTTTAAAACATTTTATTTGCTTAATGGAACTGCTTTTCAATGTTTTCTCCGAATTTATTTCAAAGCTTTGTTTGGAGAAATTCTTTTTCCCTTTCTGATCCTTTAATAGTTGATTGGAATTCCTTGACGAGGGTCGATCATTTAGTGAATTTGGTAGAGAGCCTTCGCGATACGGGGATCTTTATAATTTGTTTTTTATTGGCCAAAATGGGTTTAAATTCCTTTATACTTTTTTTCCCAGAAAATACTTCATTTTTAATGTGGAAATCCTCTCTGACATGTTCACGCATTTTATTTGCTTTTGTACGAAACCTGCCCTGACGATTCTGCTTCCCTCAATTTAGTCTCAAAAAGGGTTTGTAAAGTCATTTAACTTTCCTGGGGGATCCCATAATAGATATTAGATTGTGGGAATTCTGCTGAATATGGTCAAAGAATTTTGGTTGTCTGGAGAAAACTGGCCTAGGGCAATTATGTTATAATTTGTTGAATTTTCAATTGGACTGGAAATGTGTTTCACAATTCACTGTTTTATGCATTTTTTGGAAATGGATTTTAAAAATTTAACTTTGGAATTGTGTTCATTTTAAATTTTTTGTTTTAAATACAGCCTCCCTTCATTGCTCTCCCCTGGATTTATGTTGAAAGCGGTTTCTTCGAAGAATTCATTAACTTTTTCCCTTGGGCCTTCAGAAATGTATCAATGGGGAATTTCCTGAATCATGGTCAAAGATTATTTCATCTTTGTTTTAGGACTCAGAAATGTAATCATGTTGTGATTTTGGGAAATTTTCCATGGCAAATGTTCTTTTTAAAGTTTTCATTTTTTCGTAAGATCTTCCAAATTGTTATTGTTTAACTTTCCATACATGTTCTAAAATTTTTTATTTTTTTTAAAAAAATTTTTCACAAACCATTTTATCCTTTGGTAAAATTGGGGTTTTAAAGGGGTTTTTTGAAGATGATTTCATTTTCCGGGATCCTAGAATGATTTCAATGGGGAATTCCTTAATCATGATCAAAAATTTTTTCACCCTGGATAGAATTTCGACGATGTAAATGCTCAAATAAATTTTTTTGGTTTTTTTGGAAAAATTTGTCCAAAACCGGGTTTTTACTTTTAAAATTTTCCAAAAGGAATTTAAATTTTTTTTTGGGTTAAAGCTTTTATTTTGGGGAACCCCTTAACAAAAGATTTTGCGTGGGAAGGAAAAAAAGGGCTTTAAAATTTTTTTTTAGGGGCCCCTAAAATTTTTTTAACCTTTTAAAATTTTTTGAATTTTCTTAAAATGGAATTTTTAAACGTTTATGGGGAAAATTTTTTTTTTTTAAAATCCTTAATTTCCCCCTTTCCTTAAAATTTATTTTTTAAAAATTTTCTTTATAATTTTTTTTTTCTTTTTGATAAAGTGTTAGTTTTTTTTCCCTTTTTAAGAATTTTCGAAAAGGGGGAGGGAAACTTTTTTTTAATTTTGGGAATTTTTTCCAAAAAAAAAATTAAATTTTTTTTGAAATAAAAATTTTTTAACTTTGTGAAGGGGTTTTTTCCCCGGGGGGGCTTTTTAAATTTTTTTAACCATTTTCCCAAATTTTTAAAATTTTTAAAATTTTTGGGTTTTTTCCCCAAAATTTTTTTGGGGGCCCTCAAAAGCGTTTTTTGGGTTTTAAAATTTTATTAAAAATTTTCCCTGTTTTTTTTTTCGGGGAACGTTTTTTTTTTTTGGGGAAAATTTTCCCTTTTAAAAATTTTAAATTTGAAAGGGGGTTTCCCTTTTAAATTTTAAATTTTATGTGTTTTTATAAAATTTTCTTTTTTTTTTAAATTTTTCAAAAAATTTTTCCCAAAATTTTTTAAAATTTTTCCTAAAAGATCCTTTTATTTTTTTTAAAAAACCCCCCAAATCCGTTGGGGAATTTTTCAAAAAAAAAATTTTTTGGGGGGGGAAATTTTTCCCCGGGGGGAATTTTTTAAAAAGGGTTTTCGGGGGTTTTTTTAAAGGGTTTAAAAATTTTTTGTAGGGGACCCTTTCAATTGGAATTTCAAATTTTTGAATTTCCTTTTATTTTTTTTAAAATTTTTTTTCCATTCCTAAAAGGGTTTTAAAAATTTCTTTAAATTTAAAAAGGCCTTTAAAAATTTTTTCCCTTTTCTTTGTTTAAGAGGGGTTTTTCAAACCTATTAATTTTTTGTCGGGTGGGGAAAAAGGGGGGAAAAATTTTTAAATTTAAAAATTTTTTTTTTTGGGGGGGTTTTTTTAAAATTTAAAAAAAAATTTTAACTTTTTTTTTAAAACGGGGGGAAAAGGGTCTTTAGGGGGAAAATTTTTATTTTTTTCCCCCCCTTTTTTTTTCAAAAATTTGAATTTTAAAAGGAAATTTTTCCCCCTTTTAACTTTTTTAAAATTTTCTTTTTTACAAAAAATTTTTTAAAAAATTAAAATTTTCCCTTTGAAGGTTTTTAAAATTTAAAATTTTTGGGGATTTCAATTTTTTCCCCTTTGGGGTTTTTAATAAAAAAATTTTTTTTTTAAAAAAGGGAATTTAATTTTTTTTTGGGAATTTTGCCTTTTTTTGGTTTTTTGGGTTTTCAAAACCTTTTGCTTTTTCCCTGGTTTTTTTTCCGGGAACTTTTAAAAGGTTTTTTAAAAATTTTTTCCCTTTTTTTCTTTTTATTTTTTAATAAAAACCCCTTCGCATACCCGTTTGGGAAAAATTTTTTAAAAACCTTTATTTTTTTTTTTCCTTTTTAAATTTTTAAATTTTTTTTTTTAAAAAATTTTAAAATTTTTAATTGGGGGAACCCTTTCTGAAATCATAAAATTTTTTTTTTGTTTAAAATGCTTAATTTTTTTTTTTTTGAAATTTAAAATTTTAAATTTTTAAAAATTTTTTTTTTTTTCTAAAATTTTTTGAAAAGGGTTTTTTTTCTTCCTTTAAAATTTTTTCGGGTTTAAAAAAGGGGATTTCCCCTTTTCCTTTTAGGGAATTTTGGTTTTTTGGGGGTTTTCCTTCAAAAGATTTTTTTTTTTGGGGAATTTTCCAAAAGGGGGTTTTTTAAAATTTTCAATTTTTTCCATAATTTTTTGGGTTTTTTAAACCTGTTTTACATTTTCATTTTTTTTTTGGGTTGAAAAACTGTTTGGGTTTTTTGGGTTTAAAATTTTTTTTGGGGTTTTTAAAAAACCCCCCTTTGGGGAATTCCTTTCCCCTTTTTCCAAAAAGGGGTTTAGTTTTAATTTTTTTCCCCGAAAAAATTTAAATTTTTTTTCGGGGAAAAACCCCCAAAAATTTTGATTGTGGGAATTCCCTGCTGAATCCATGATCAAAGAACCGCTTATAATTTCCCTTTTTAAGTGTTTTTTCATGGAAAAGGGTTTTAAATTTTTTTTTTTGGGAAACTCGAAAACGCCACATGTTAAATTTTCATTTTGCAGTCAAATGGTCACTTCACCTGGCTTTACTCTCTTTCGTAAGATGTTTTCCTCTTATCTCGAAATAGATATCAGATTGTGGGAATTTGCTGAACCCATGATTCAAAGAATTATTTCAGTCGCTTGGTATGGAGGAGTGACCTCACGATACGGGCATCATTTTAGTGAATTTGTTGGAATTTTCTGTGGACCTGAAACTGGGTCCTTCAAACACTGCTTTATACATTTTTTCCAGTAAATGGAATCTTTTTCAAAATTGGTATTAACTTGTTGAAATCGTATTTTACATGTTAAAATCATTTTTTCATTTGTTTGATAGTTAACTCATCGACATGTTGTCACGCTGGTAATTTACGGTGTCTGAAAAGCGGTTTTTTTGAAGAGATCGCATTTCAATTTTTTTCTCTCTGGGATCCTCAGAAAGATATCAGATTGTGGGGAATTTCCTGTTGAATCCATGATTCAAAGAATTATTTCAGTCGCTTAGTATGGAGGAGGACCTTCGACGAATCGGGCATCATGTTATGAATTTGTTGAATTTTCAGTGGACCAAAACTGTGTCTTTCACATTCATTTGTTTATACATTTTTTCCAGTAAAGGGAATTCTTCCAAAATTGGTATTAACTTAGTAAAATTTCGCTCTTTCTCTCTCAAGCTTTTTTCATTTGCTTTGAAAAGGCAACCTGCCCCTCGACGATGTCGCTTTTCATTAAATATCTAAACATTTGTCCTAAGGTATCAGCTAGATTTCAGACTTGGCATTATGTTGGCGAGATATGTGGTGCAAGGTGATCGTCTGAAAAACTTTATAAATTTTTAAGCCAAATAAATGACTGTTAATACATTATTTATTAGTATTGCTTTTTTCTTCCAATAGAGTTTTTTTAATAAATGCTTCACCTAAAAGTACTTAAAACAGGTTTTTTTTTATAAAGAATGTTTTAAGATTTGATCCACAGAATTTTCTATATTTAAGAATATAGATAAAACAATCAAAACCGATGATTTTTTTTACACAGAACTGAACAATTTTAAGTAAGTTTTGATATTATGTATATAATATGATGTATATAATATGATGTAAATAATAAGTAATTTGTTGATATTTTCATGAGTAAGAACTGTATAATTTTTCTAGGCGCCTCACTTTTTTCGTTCTATCTCTATATTGTTTGTTTATTTTTTTTTCAACTCTCTCCTTACTCTTCGTTTCTATTTCTTTCGCTTTTTAGACCTCCTCTTCTTTCTTTTATATCCTTCTTTTTTCTCTAACTGTTCTCTTTTTATTTCTGCTTACAAGAAAATTTGTTTCTGTTCGAAAATTCTTTCTCGTATTCATTTTATTAAATCCAAAATTTTAACAGAAACCGTATTTTTTTTTTTTTCTTTCGGCAGTTGTCCTTCCATATCAGACGCCGATGACATGGTCTCCTACTTCGGTGAGAGCACAGACGACAGCCGTCAACAAATGGACGACCACGGAGACGAAGAACTCGGTGACGGTATATCTGGCAAATCGCCCAAAAGATCGGCGGCCTGAAAAAACGGCCGAATTCAGCCCAGTATGCCGAATATGAGTTGACGTTTGACGAGATCACTGACGGACTATTTATGGATAAGACAGACAGTGAGAAGAAGAAAAAAAAGGAGGATGGGAAAAGATTAATATAAGTAAACTGACTTCAAAAGGGTCAAAGGCGCGAGCCTTTTCTCTGGTCGACGTAGTGCTTCTTTAAGAAGTGTAGTCACACCACCGCAGACGCCATCGTTACCGGCTACATCAACGTCTTCTGGTGAGACAACGACTTCACGGTAAATACTATCTCTCCTCAGGTGTCCTTATTATCGCAGCGTCTTCAATTTCAGTTAAACAAGCAGCTCAGCTTTCGAGGCAACGACTGCAGCATCAGACTCATTCCTTACCGTCCCCCAAACCCGGCCTCCAGCGTTCGTTCACTCAACCTTCACCTCCATCATCACCTTCAATGCCATCCAAGATGAAAACCGGCGACGCCCTTACACCTCAGGGGATCAACCGAAAACAGTCCGCTTCACGGTAGATAGCTTCGAGGCTGGGGGCGGCAGTGAGGAGTTAGAAGAGGAAACCAGTGTCAGGTCCCGACGGTTTGAAAAGGAAAAATATCCAGGAAAGACGTTGGAATCTTTTAACATTGTCAGCATCTTCATCTTCACTCAGAATAGGGTCCCTTCTCTGTTAAACCTTTCAGCTTCCCAGTCGGCTATGTCGATATCCTCAATTCCAGTGAGCCCGATTGCAAACGAATCTACAGCCCCCAACCTTGGGACAGAATCGACTGGCTCCTCAAATCTTTTCCTCCATGAAATTTAGTCTTCACAAGATACTGACGCCGAAGATCCTACGAGAGCTTAAGCTGCAAAATCTAAAAGAACTTCAACAAACAAAGCAAGAAACAACATCGGAAAAGCCAGCACCGACGCCGACTCCTTCCACTGAAGTCCTACCTCCGCTTCCTCCTCCTTCTTCTTCTGCTTCCACTACAGATACTACCACTACCACTACATCTGCAAGCACCACTAGTGATAGTAGTACTACTATGATAACTATAGCTAGAACAGCAACACCAGATGATACCGAAGCAGTCGCGAGCACATCTTCAAATACTCCTTCCTTCACACTAGCATCCATAATCCAACTTAAAAGACAACCGTCTTCTCCGACATCATCAAGATCGTCCGCTGAGGTTGCGACAACGTCCGAAGATACAATTGAGAAACTATGACACCTGGTGACGGGGTGATGCCACCACCCCTGTCCCAAGTATCTATGTAACAGGGACAGCACCTAAGGCTCTTCCGGAAGAGATCGGGGATTCACAGGAGAGCAGCAAGCCAAGTCGGCAGAAGCCCTCTACGAGTTCCCGGAGCAGTTTCAAATCAACTTCAAAAACATGGGCTAAGGCGGCAGCCAGAGCGGCAGCAAAGGCGGCCTCACGGGCAGCGGCACGAGCGTCCGCTGCAGCTGCCGCCGCGGCCTCGTCAGTTAAATCATCATCCTCGTCATCTTTATCTTCAGCGTTGTCTTCTTCAACAAGCACGTCATCCACAGGCCTGCATCTTCATCTTCGTAGTCCTGAGCTTCGACTCCAAATCCGCAGACCCCAACTCCTGTTCGTATAGCAAGCGCGGGGAACGAGGAAGGAGTGGCAGAAGAGGCAGCCGCTCAAACCCCAGACCCGGAGCAGTTCGATATCCCGTCGGCTGAAGGAATGGAGAAAGTAATCGACAACGAACGGAAAATTCGGATCAAGCGACTGCAGCGGGATCTCACGCGAATTCAGAAAGAGTTACAAGCTCGATGACCTTGAGTACGAAGTTTCGTACGTTTGATGCCGGGGAGATTATCTGATTTGAGATGTGGAGGGTAATGATAACTATTGCAGATGGTGGAGTACAAAAAAAAGTAAAAGAAATCAAATTGAAATAAATGGACCAAAACAATATTTAAAATACCAATGACGTTGATACTGCTGATTGCTGCTACTGTTGCTGCTCTTACTGCTGATGGAAATGTTGATCAGAGATCATCGTTGTCGTTAATATTCTGTCAGGGTGGGGGAATCAAGAGGATAATATGAAATACAGAAACGGATCTAATAAAGACAGAAGACGGATTCGTGAAATGCATATTACAATCGATTTGAACTTCGGCTATGAATTAAGTGTTCCGCTGATCCGGGGTTTAAACTAATTCTGCATCAGATCAAAGCCGAAATTCGAATACAGTATAGGAAACAAATAAAGAAAAAAAAAACGATTTAAAAAAAAATAAGATTCAAATAGGCTCCCTTCCTGAGGAAGAATACAATATATAGTCTTTGAATAAAGATGCTTAATATTACGGGCATACAAAAAAAAGTAACCTTCGCTAGGCGATGGATTTTCCTTCTTTCAAACAGGTAAAAAAGAGATCGCATCATAAACAGCTAAAATTTAGAATAATGGACCATATCAGTGTGCCATGGTTTTCTGTTTGAGTGTGAATAATTACTTCACACAAAATCACATGCATTGTAGAGTTTGGATAATTACTACTTCTAAATAAACGCATAAATACATCTCTGCTTAAATATTTTCACCATTAGTTACGTTATATAAACTCCATTCCCTTAGCAAAATCAAAGCTTTGACCAAAAAAAAATTCTTTAATGACTATGAAATCCGGTACGAGCCATGACTTAATTCCATACATAAATTAAATGCAATAAAAATCGGTGCATTGTGAAATAATAAGTTACAAAATCATACAATTATATATTATAATGTTGACATCTAATAGTCTCTGTTGGTATGCTAATAAACGACACATTCATTAGAAACATACACAGTATTATGTTTTTAGCTCGAGAGACTGTATTGCTGAAATGAAGAAATAGTAAGGTTAAATAAAGGATTTGTTTTATTAGGATGGTGCCAATGCGTTCTGTCCCTTTATATTTTTTTTATTGCTGATACATGACGTTGAGTCAATAATTACCAGTGGCGAATAGAGAAATATATCAAACTGAATGAGTTTTCTTTATACAGAAGTATGAAAATCGATGAGTTATAAAATACTGGGAATGAACATTGGATTTAAGTGTAATGAATCGTCCATTCTTCCTTGATCAAGTAACAAAAGAGAAAGCAGGCAACATCGTCTCACGATATAAGGACACTAAGCAAGGGTTTCCAACCTTTGCCGAACATCTGATAACTAATCTTCCTCCAAAACAATCCCAACCCTATTTACTTTTTTTTAAAACTTATCAAAACATCACAATCTTGTTTTCGAGTACAACTCATTCGTTTTTGTTGTTTTCCTAGACTAAAATGTATATAACAGAAATCTCAAAAGTATCATTTGGGAATTCTTTGAATCAGGATTAAATTTTCAGCGTTTGGATGGGGACTTACGACAGGGGTCATTTTATAAGCGGAATTTCAGGGCCCAAACGGTGTTTTAAACGTTTTAACATTTTCAGTAATGAATCTTTAAATTGTTTTAACTTGTGGGGAATCTTCCTTTTGTTCAAAGCATTTTCTTTGATAGGAACCTTTCACTTCGGCATGTCTTGTAATGGCAATTTCCCTTTTTCCCGTTTGTCGAAAACCCTTTTTAAACTTTTCCTCTAGGACCCCGAAATAGTATGATTGTAAATTTTCCCTGCTGAATCCATTTAAAATTTTTCCTCGTGTAAGGGATGACCTCGGAATGGATCATGTTAGTGAATTTTTAATTTTTAGGGACAAACGTATTTTAATTTTTTTTAAAATTTTCCAGAAATGGAATTTTTTAAAATTTTTAACTTGTGAAAAAATGTCTCCTTGCAAAGATTTTTATTGCTTTTGATAATTAACCCTTACTTTTGCTGTGGCATAACAATTCCTGAAAAGCTTTTTAAGGACCGCTTAAAATTTTTCCTGATTCAAGAAAAGATTCTTTGTTTTCCCGCGAACCCTTTATTCAAATAATTATTTGTCCTGGAATGAGGGGATTCTTTATTTGGGCATATGTAGTGAATTCTGGAATTTCTGGGCCCAACGTGTTTTCCCAAATTTTTAAACTTTTTTTCAAAAAATGGAATCTTCAAAATTTTTTAAATGTTAAAAATACCACTGGGCACCCCAAAAGATTTAATTGTTATTTACAGCAATCCCTTGGAATGTTCTTTCACGCTAAATTTACTTTCTGAAAAGGGTTTTCAAGATGATTTCAACTTTTTCCTCTCTGGGGATCCCAGAAATAGATATCAGATTGTGGGAATTTCTTGAACCATGATTCAAAGAATTATTTCGTGCTTTGAGTATGGAGGAGGACTTCGACGATAGGAGATCATGTTGTGAATTTTTTGGGAATTTCATGGACGAAAACTGGGTCTTTCACAATTCACTGTTTATACTTTTTTTCCAGAAAATGGAATTTTCAAAATTGGAAATTTGTGAAATCGTTTTCGTGTACTTTGCAAGTTTTTTCTTTGTTTAACAGAATGCACTTCACGATGGGGGCCCGCCCCCTAATTTAGGTTCGAAAAGCGTTTTGTCAAGGATTGCATTTCAATTTTTCCTAGGGATCTCGAATAGATATCAATTGGGGATTCTCCCGAATCCATGATTCAAAGAATTTTTGTCGTTTGAGTATGGAGGAGTGACTTCGAAGACGGTCATTTGTAATCTTTGAATTTCATGTGACCAAATGGGTGTCCTTTAAATTCACTGTTTATACTTTTTTTTCCAGTAAAGGGAATCTCTTCAAAATGGAGTTAACTTGTGTGAATGCTTGTATTCTACAAGCATTTTTCATTTCTTTTGAACAGCAATTGCACCTTCGAGATGTCTCTTAGTTGGAATTTAGTGTCTAAAGCTTTGCTGAGGAGCATTTCAACTTTTTCCTTCTAGGGATCCCCAAAATAGATATCGGGATTGTGGGGAATTTCCTGCTGAATCCATGATTCAAAGAATTATTTCAGTCGTTTGATATGGAGGGAGTGACCTTCGACGAAGACCATGTGAATTTTTGGGAAATTTTCATGTGACAAATGGTTTTTCAAATTCACTGTTTATAATTTTTTCCAGTAAATGGAATTTCTTCAAAATTGGAAATTAATTTGTGAAATCGTGCTCTGTACATCCTACGATTTTTCATTTTTTTATACAGCAATCGCACTTCGAGATGTGGCTGTCACCTTGGCATTTACTGTTCGAAAAGCGTTTGTCGAAGAGATCGCATTTCATTTTTTCTCCTGGGACCCTCGAAAAGATATCGATTGTGGGAATTTCCGCTGAACCCGATCAAGAATTATTTCGTCCTTGGTATGGAGGAGGACTTGCATTCACGGGCACGGTTAAAATTTGTTGGATTTTCATGGTAAAAACTGTTGTCTTTCTAAAACACTGTTTTTATATTTTTTCCGTAAATGGAATCTCTTAAAAATTGGTATTAACTTGTTGAAATCGCTCTGCTCTGTACATGTCTACAAGATTTTCATTTGTTTGACAACCGCACCTTCGACTTGGTTGTGCATCCCTTGCAATTTCGTGTTAAAGGGTTTTCAAGGATCCTTTGATTTCAATTTTTTTCCCTCTAGATCCTCATGAAATAGAATCAGATTGGGGAATTTCGCTGAACCCATGATCAAAGAATTATTTCAGTCGCTTGGTATAAGGAGGGGGACCTTCGAGATAGGCATCATGTTAGTAATTTGTTGAATTTCATGTCCCAAAAAACGGGTCTTTCAAATTCATGCTTTTATAATTTTTTCCAGTAAATGGAATCCTTCAAAATTGGTATTAACTTTGTTGAAATGCCTGCCTGTTGTCCACAAGCATTTTCATTTGTTTTGATAGAACTGCACTCGACGATGTCCGTTAAACGTTATTTCACGGTCGAAAAGGTTGCTAAGAGATCGATTTCAATTTTCCCTCTAGGGATCTCATGAAATAGATATCGATTGTGGGAATTTCGCTGAATCCATGATTCAAAGATTATTTTCCGTGAGATGGAGGGGCTTCAAACGTTGGGGTATTGTTATGAATTTTTGAATTTTCTGGACCAAAACTGTGTTTTTTACATAAATGCTTTTACATTTTTTCAGTAATGGAATCTCTTCAAAATTGGTATTAAATTTGGTAAAATCTCGTTCTGACATTCTAAAGATTTTCATTTGCTTTATAGAACCCTTTGCCCCTTTCGAAGTGTTGCTGTCAATTACAATTTACGTGTTGAAAGCGTTTGCTCGAAGGATCGATTTCAACTTTTCTCTAGGATCCTAGAAATAGATATCAATTGGGAATTTCCTTAATCCATGATTCAAAGAATTATTTCAGTCGTTTGAGTATGGAGGAGAACCTTCGACGTATAAACATTTAGTGAATTTGTTGAATTTTCTTGGCCCAAAATGGTTTTCAAATTCATGTTTATACATTTTTCCAGTAAATGGAATCTTCAAATTGGTATTAACTTGTGAAATCGCTCTCAAGCATGGTTTTCATTTGTTTATAAACCCACCTTCGACGAGTCGCTGCTTCACGTGAATTTACTTTTTGGGAAAGTTTTTGCTCGAGGATCGTATTTCAAATTTTCCTCTAGGGACCCTCATGAAATAGATATCAGATTGTGGGAATTTCCTGCTGAATCCATGATTCAAAGAATTATTTTTGCTTGATATGAGGAGTGCCCTTCACGAACGGGCACTGTTATGAATTTTTTGGGAATTTTCATGGGGACCAAAACTGTGTCTTTCACATTCACTGTTATACATTTTTCCAGAAATGGAATCTCTTCAAAATTGATTTTTAGTGAATCGTCGCTCGTAAGCTACAA